GCTCTCACCTGCAGTGGGAAAAAAATGGAAAAAATGATCATTTCCAAAAAACAATATTTAGATTTCAAATCAAAATTAATTTTATCCAATGAAACTTTGACTCAATACTCCTAATAATCGATTCCAAAGCATTCTGTTATTGGAAATTTTTAACCTGCATACCGTCTCAAATAATCGTTTTCAAAACACAATCAGATAGTTTTTCCTGTGCCAGTCTATGATACTCATTATCTACAGATAATACCCAGACTGTTCTTATATAATATATATTTTTTATTTACAATCTGTATATAATCTGAAGATAATGTAAGGATATTTTATATATAATCTGCATTTAATTTGAAGTTAGTTAAATTTTACATAATCGATATATATTCTGCACAGTTCCATTTACTTGTCTGAAAATTATAGGGTTTCTAAATAAAGTCAACTAAAACTATCAAAAAACCATTTTTTATGGTTGCTTTTGTTCACAAACTTTAATGAGATATCATTTTCAAGAAAAATCATGGTCAATGTTTTTGGGAGCTACAACAACTTGAGGAGAGTTAAAATCACACTGCTTATCATAAGTTTCAGGAAAATGCTCTGACATTTTTCAATCTAAAATTTCAAAAGGCTTAAATCTTTTCAAAACTTATTTCTAAGAGATTTATTTATTCTACAATTTATTTGTAAAAAATCATAAAATCAACTTTGATTAAATCGATTTTGATGAAAGATTTTTGTAACTAATTTTATTAGTTTTTTTTTTATAAAAAAGTCACAAAATTAACTGAAAAGAATAGATTTTAAGTTTTTGATATTACTAGCATTATTTGATGGTGAAAAATTTGGGATAACCCGTCTTCATACTTTTTATATATAAGTAGTTTTCAGATATTCTGTAAATATTCTGTGCACAATCTGTTATACAAAATCTGTTACCTATAACTTGCGAACAAAACGTATATACTACAGATTATACACAGTTTACTTAGAGAATATACACAAAATTTTTCGCACCGAATTTTAATAACGATGAAAGCTAGCAAAAAAAAACACCTTTTATATGGATTCTTATTTTCTAATTTTTCTAATACTTTTTTAATACTTTTTTATGTGGATCTTAAGAATTTTTTGATTTTGTTCAATTTGTCACTGTAAAAATTGATTTGTGGCTTTACAAACCACTTGAAAGCCGATTGAGATCAATTGGAACTGTTGTAGGTTAACCTGAGCAAAAGTACGTACCGACTTTTGGTAAATGGTATTTATAAGATTGTGGAATTTTTGATCTCCTATCGATCTGAAATCCACTGCTAAAGGTAATTATATTCTAGAACTGATTTGAGCTTTGTTTTTGTACGTTTTAGTACAATGCTTGCTTTGCTCAAACTTTTTAATTTCGGCACTTGAGAGATGTTTTGATATGTCAATTAATTCATTGTTATTGAATATATATGCTTGGGGTAAATTTTTTTATTCAGACCAAATTTCAAAGATATTTCCTTCTTGGTATCGATCCTTTGATTGTTAGTGGCCAAGCAGGGTCGCGCTCACCTCTAGACTATCCTGACTGAATGATTCCTTTGAAACGCTCAGCAAAAGACTAACGTGACAATAAAAGCGCTGTAATACTTCGATGCTGAAAGTTAAATGCGCATTATTCAAAGGTGGCGAAAAATTCCCCATCACAAAATCGTTCCATATTCCATTGAGGCAGGCTAATTGGTGTTGTTAATTCAAAATATGATTCATAATCTTCAGCTTAAAACTCATAGTTTGACAATATTTCATTTACAAAAAAAAACTATTTGAGACAAGTGTATTGACTGTCGGATCAACCATGATTTTGCCCTGATATGAGCAGTTTTGTGTTTCGTATATCTGCAGGAGAAAACCTTGCTTCATTTAATGTTTTCTTTACCGTTTTCTCGTCGCTTAGACTAAACACAAAAAAGATGACAAGTTTTTGGCTGATTGATTAATTTGATTTATTTCTTTTTTGGTAAGTTTTCTTTCCGAATATTGAAAATCGTTTTTTCCCTGTTGGTTGGGATAAGACACAAATCAAGAAAATGCTTCGAATTCAACCAAAAATTATTATGAGCACATAGTTTTGCGGTTAAAATGGGATTGAAAATTGTTAATTTTATCCTCGTTTAGGCAATTAAGAATAACGGTTAAGTTACCAGTTCAGTTTCAATTGATGAGCCAGTTTCATTAATTTAAGTTTCTTACACAATCCAAAAAACTACAGAAAAAAGTTATCTCAAAAATTGCACATTTTATTTGGAATCTGTTTTTAGGCAAAAACTCGGAAATTTATTTTGTAAAAAAGATGGTTCTGGCTATCAAAAAAAATACAATCCTCTAGTCAGATTTTTAAAGCTTACCCCTTGCAGAGCTTTGCGGACTAAGAAACAATTATTTGATTTAAAAATTTTTTCATCAATTGTCTGGTAGTCATAGCATAAATCTGTCAGTTGTGGGGTAAATATGTGTCCCAGTTTTCGCAAAAAAATGCACCATTTTTGTTATATATTTTCAAAACGTTATGAGAAAAAACGTTTAGCAATTAAAAAACGTACAAGCTTAAAAAATTTCTTTTAGTTCACAATAAAATCTTCACAAAAGAACAATTAAAATGAGCATCAAGAGAAATGTAGATTGCCAGAATGAAAAAAAAACAAAGCTAAACCTAATGCTAGATGATGTTATTTAGTGTATCGCTGTCTCGGTCCTAGTCAATCGCGTAATCACTACCTGAGTTGAGTCCCCCTCCCTCACAGGCAGGTCATCATTTTTTGCATTTGAAAGTTCTATTTCGAGTGGATTCTGTCTTAGTCATTAGCCGGTCGTAAGCTCACAACCAAAATCATTCATGTCATTTTGTTTAATCTTTCCTTGCTCTGTTACTTGTAAAATTTTGATTATTGTTAATTTCTCTTTCTGTTTCAGGTTTGATAATTACATTAATTTAATTTGTTTTGGCACTTTGAGGTGGTTAAAACTATCAAACTCTATGACCGTCTGTTCCAAGCCGTTGTTTTTGCTTCGACACTTTAAATTGTTACACAAATGGAAAAACTCAGTAATGTGATTGTTATTATTGTTCCGACTTTCGAAAAAAAACGGAATATTTATGCTCGCATTGAAGATATTGACTACTTGTGTTCAAATTTACAAAAATAAATTTTACCTCCAACCAGGGGCGGATTTAGGGGGGACCCTCAGGGATTCAACCCCCTGCGTACCCAAAGGGTCCCCCCTTTGATACTTTTTCAGAAATCCATTTTTGACCGACCGACCCTAAAATTTTTCTAAAGGCGCCTTTGGCGCCAATATATACTAACTTTGAGGGGGAGCGCGCGCCAAAAAAATGCGATTTTTTTGTCAACATTTTTCGAAAAGGGCCAAAAAACGACTTTTTTGACTGTTTTTTTTTTTTAAATTTGCCTGCGGCGCAGAAAATTTTGCCAAATTAGGGGCAAAACAGTGCTTTGAGAGAGCTCGAAAAATCAATTCGGTCGACCTAAAAAAATTAAAGGTCGTCAAAATTTTTTTAAAAAATTAAAGGTCGATTTTTTTTTTGAAAATCCGCCCCCCCCCCCCCCTCCTCGAGAAAATTCAAGATCCGCCCCTGCCTCCAACTATTTTTTGTAGAGTTCTGGTGGTTTCAAATTTACCAAATTGGCCATTTTCTGAACTAAATTATGCGCGCGTTGAAGAATTTATTCATAATGCTGAAAGCGTAACGCGAATTATTTACGCGTGGCGAGTTACCTCGCATAACAAAATCGTTCCAAACAGAATTGAGGCTAGCTAATTGGTCATATTAAATTTGTACGACTCAAACTTTCACATAATTTGTCCAAAATTATAGATTTTAACATTTTCTTTTAAAAGCTATTCGATATGAATTATGGGACTGTCGGATATACGAGCGGTCTTGCTCCAGTTTGAACTTGCTTTGATCAAACTCTGTCTTTTTTTCTTCTCTCTGTCTCTACATGTTCCGAAAAATCTGACTCTACATGTTCCGATTCTATCCTTTTTCTGGTTCTCAATTGAAAGACTCGGATACTTTGTGGTCGTTCAATACAAAAACCTCAAGGCACCTCAACTGTTGCTCAATTAACTGTTCACTTAGTGATTTGCTTACTCCTTTAACAAATAATTCTGAAGTTTAAAAGACTGTCGCTTTTAGAAAAAAAAGCTATGGGTAATTATCAAAATTATTTTGAGAAGTTGCTCATAGATTTACATAATGATGGTCATATAATTTTTTCAGGCGTTGCCTTGTTTGTAGAAAGATCTTGTTGGAGGAACTTGATGATTTCTTATCTATCTCAAGTGATATAAGAAAAGTTAAATCTTGCTTCTGAACATAAGTTTCAAGAACAAAAAGCAAATCGTTGATTCTCAGTTTTACCCTGGAGCAAACCAATTTTTACTCTTTCTACCAGTCCATAAACTTCTTTCTGGACATTAAAGTCGCGTTATCACGACCATTCTGGAGTGCTCTAGAAAATCGATTGTATTTAGTAAAAAAATCCCGTGAAGTCAAATCACAGATTTTTTTCGAAATTTATTTTCTTAGTTGCCTTTTGCTTTTTTAGCAAAAGGCGATTGAGTTTGGTAAACTAACTCAAACAATGGGTTGTGTTAGAAATTTTTATTTTATCAAAATAGATTTTGAATCAACTTGAGAAATCAGTCTCTCATTGTTTGGTTTGTAAATTTTTGCCATTTAGTCGAAATTTTAGCCATAGCGATTGAAATCAGACCAATTTTTCCGAAACCGCTTTTTGGTTTTTTAATTCATCCTCACGGCCAGTAGTGCTTTGCTTTGATGCCACACTCGTTTTCCTCAAGCTTTTCTTGAGGTACCTTAACTTGGGCGGAAGAAAATGGGCGTAACGCCATAGTTCCTTACTGTCACATCGTGATGCGGTGTGAAAAATTAAATAAAAAACTTTTGTTAAAACAATTTAAAAAATAATTTACTTCTAATTCATTGCAATAAATTTATCAATTTCATAATACTCATGTATCTTTTAAATGTTTAGGAATGTTGATTTTTGGTGGTTTTTTACAAAGCAAATGTATCATCTAAAAGAGTTTACAATCTACAATCTGTCATGTTTTTTTTTGCTGCAGACCCGCTCCCGCAGTGCATAAGGGGAGACAATATTTAATCTGACATGTGTGCACCAGTTTTTTGGAGCTCCTTTGAAGAATGAAAAAAATAATAAATTAATAAAATAATGGTCATGTTTGATGCTTGGTTCAAATAGCTGCTCGGATTTTTGAGCTGCTCAAACTTTTGTGGAGGGGAAAGGAGGGACTATGCAACCCCTTCAGCTGCCCCTGATTTCCATGCCAATTGATCAGGTTTTCCACAAATTATTAATGAAAAATTAAGTTAACATATTGAAAAAAGTGATTGCGAGAAAAAAAGTTCAGCAGCAGCCAGATTTTTTCTTTTTGGTTTTGAGAACAATATTTTTGGCATTTTCCAGGTCTTTGTCTTCCAGCTTGGCCAGTTCCTGAGCCAGCAGTTGCACACTGTCCGAGATGCCGTCGCCTGATCTTGAGCTGACCTCCATGAAGAAGGCGCCACACTGGTCGGCGAGGATGCGACCCTCCTCCTGATCTATCGGGTGCAGTTTCAGGTCAGGCTCGAACTTCAGGTCCATCTTGCTGCCTGAATATACAACAAAAAAATTTTTCGCAAAATTCAGATTTGACAATTTAATACAAAGCATTTCAGAAGAAGAAATCATTTGAGAAGACCAGCCATAACTTAGTGAAGAACGGCCTTGAACTGTTCTTAGTTTTTTTTTGAAGAAAACTAGAGAACGAGAAACTGAAGTTTCTGTATTTGTAACACTAGATCATACTTAGGGTTGAATGTTGAAATAACTTCAAATTAAACAAGACTGCTCGTACCAGGGCGAAGCCCTGAAAGTTCCGACTGCCTTTTAACGTTTATGGAGCAGTAATAACAAAAAAACATAAAAAAAATAAATGAAATAAAATAAAATGAAAATTTTTTTTTTCTAAAATTTTAATTTTTTTTTTGATGAAAATCATCCCCCCACACACCATATAAAGAACAAAACAATAGATTTCGCTCCTTGTAACAAATCAATTATGGCAAAAAAGCTTCTTTTAATCAATTTGGAACGATTTCTAAGTCGGATTAAATCTCCGCTTACGCGTTAATAGCGCGAATTATATCGCGCGTAAATTGTCCCAAATTGGTCAAAATGGTAATCTTCAAACCTTCATAACTTCACGAAAAATGATCACAGGTGAAATATCTTTTCAAATTTAAGCTCAGGACAGCAATACCTTTTGAATGATATAAGAAGTTCCGTCAAAAATGGCTAGTTAAAAAGTCGAAATTTGTCTGAAGAAAAAAAAAACCCACCTCGAGCACAAATATTCCGTTACTTTCGTATCGAAAGTCGGAACAATTACAAAAATGTTCACTGTTTAATTGTTGTTCTCCTTATGTTAACAATGCGATTGTATGTCGAAACTTGCTTGCCTAGTAGAAATAAGAGTATGTCTTCTGTGTCTATCTCCTCCCTGATCTCCTCCACCCACTGCCGCACATTCAGCAGACTCCTCTCATTTGTGACGTCATACATGACCACGATCGCATCCGTCCTTCTAAAGTACTGCTTCGTGATCGAACGATACCGCTCCTGAAACGGAAACAGTTGCATTTTAATATATGTTCGCTAATCGGGTTTTTCCCCTTATAGCTACTCCCCGCCCCCCCCCCATCCTTCTCTCCTGCCAAGTTACAAGAAATATGTGCATTGCAATTTTACTGCTATAAGGTGGGGGTACCCCATATAGGAAAGAACCAATAAGTTTTTGAAGTCATAAAGAGTGATTTAATAAAGTTATGATCAGCTTTCCATCAGCTTATTTGGTGCTTACTTTGCTCACATACCTTAACCTGAAAAATCTGATTGCCATAATGACGAGAGAAAACCTTAATATATTGGCCCTTAGTATTTAAACATAAAAAAAACAAAGATGTTAGTTTTCTCGTGAATCACTGATTGCAGCCAACACTAACTTGTCCGGCTGTGTCCCAGAACTGTAGAGAGTAGCACACATTATCCAACACCAACTGTTTCACATGGTAGTCCACACCAACAGTAGCCGGAAGTGACGCACTAAACTGGTCTCTACACACTCTGGAGATGTAGGAAGATTTACCCACTCCGGAGTCCCCCACGAACACTATTTTGAACACTCTGTGACGGGTGATGTCCATCAATTGATCCCCATTCATCTAAAGCATGCAATTAAGTTTAAGGTGGGCTTCGGCGAAAAAAAAACAAGCGAAACTCAAAATGAGAGCTCACATGTCAAATTTTTAAACATTTATCGGATGAAAACAAGTTTACAATTCGGTTTCAATATATTTTCCGATCATTTTCTCCATTTCAGCAGAATTATTGGTCTCGTTGTCATAACATAACTTAAGTGCGAACTGTTTTACGAAATGTAGTTCAAAACAAATTAGTTAATTGCTAAACTAAGCTAACTATCTCCTTCCCGAATCATTTTTCTTTTTTTTGGGGGGGGGGGGGGTTATTGTGTACTTAATTCAGTCATTTAAAAAGCAAAACAGAACGTTAAGAGAAAATCTAGAAAGAGCAACGCAATTCCAATGCTAGAAATTCAGTTTAATTTTTTTTTTCGTCTTCTTTTGTTTTTAATTGATCTTTGAGTTACATACAGAGAATAGTTTTTTATTAACATTCTAGAGACATGATTGAGATTGCTAATGAGACTTACAGTTGTACTTGTCTCCTCTGGGATCTAAAAATGGTTTGAATAATATAACTTCCTCCGACTACTTTCAAATGCAGTTTTAAAACGAGTTTTTATTATGAACAAAATGGCGAAGTGGCTGAGTTTCAGCACCTCAGTCGAAAGGTTGCAGGTTCGATGCCCAACAAGATGCGTGTTTGCTACTTGAGTGTGAGGCAACATTTCCCAGCCCAGAAAAATAACCAAAAAAAAACTGCTGGATCTTAAGCAGAGGCACAACAGCGGCTCTCCGAAAAGAGCGGTCCAGCTCGTATGCTGTTTTTTTTTCTCGCAGACAGGTAGTTAAACCAAAAAAAAATTTGGAAAAAGTGTGCCTTAAAAAATCGAGGTGCAATTTCGTACGATACTGCGAAATAACAACTTCAAGCAAAAATGAACGCATACCTCTTGGAATTGGTTCTGGGGGGTAAGGGATGATTCCCTGATAGCATTGCACATGAGACCCAGCTTATCCTCCCCATCTTCCCCCTCGACGGTGTCAAAGCTGGCTCCTTGACCCATGTTGTTGAGGTGGAAGGCAGAGTTGTTGAGGTTGATCGTCTCCATGGACCTACTGCTGTTTCTTCTCTCCCAATTGATGTGAGAACCATCCGCATCCTGAAAAAAAAGGAATCATTCAAAAATTTCAGTAATTTGTTCACGGTGTGTGCCAACAAAAAGTTTGTGTCAAACGAAAAATGTATTTTTCTCAGTAGTACTTTTGGTTTAACCTTTTGTTGAATTGGCAGTTGCAAAATACCTTCATTTGTGTATAAACTGCATAATTCGTTCTATGCAGTTAAAAATTGAACGTAAAATCGTCTCAATTATTTTTTTCTATTTGCGCGAAGCAAAAGCATCAAAAACTTGATAAAACCCAACCTGCAGAAATAGTTGCTTTGCGTTTCTTTGCAGCCCCATCCTCTCCTCAGCCTCCATCTCGTCCTCAAAGTCCACATCTTCATCTGTATCCTCCCCCTCTCCCCCTCTCCCACTGTCGCCCCCCGGGGGCATGTAGCTCCCAATTATGGAACCCCGCCGAGGTCCCTAAGTAAGAACACTCGATGGATCTAGAAGTTTCAACGACCATTTGCTTGTAAAGTTCAAAGGCCGTTTACTTGTAAAAAAACTCACAGGTCATATAAACTAAGTTTTATTGAAAATTACATCAACAGTTGTATGAAATTCAGTTTTGTAGAAAAGAAAATTTTGGAAACAAATATTTTTTCGGACAATTTGAGGAGCAAATTTGGTTGTAGATTTACTGCTAAAAATGATTTATTTATCCTATGATTTTTCCAGTTTAATAAATTATAAAAAATACAAATGTTGTTAAGTTTTGCATGTTGTTTATTACAAATTACAAATTTCGCTTAATGTTGAAAAAGTGAATTACAAATATGCTTAACTGTCTCACATCTGCAGCATGGTTAGTTGGTAGTTTCAGAGTGGTCAGGTCAAGTTGGTTGGTGGACAGAAGAGCACTCAAGTTGCTTGAAAACTTCTCCACCGAGATCGACTTGCCCTTTTCTAAGTTGCCTCCCACTGTCAAGGTCGTCGCAGCTTTGTCTTTGTTTTTGGAAGTGTGACGACGTCGGATACCTTTGGTCGCCTGAAACAACAAAATCGCTTCAGCTTACTTCTTTCATTTTTCAGTATTATTTTTTCCTCTTATGTTTGCATGTGAACCATAGATATGTTTGTGAAGTGAAATTGAGTTTTAAGTAGAGTTGTCTTTGTTTTTTGTAGATTGATTTTAGGATGCTTCGAGTTGCAGTTTTAAGAGTAGCTCAACGAGGCTCATCAGCTTTTAAAATCAACAAGGTCCAGCAGCACATGTAATTTGCAGGGTCACAACAGCGGGGTCACAATAACCTTAAGAAGGGTCACAACAGCGGTTCGCCGTGATGAGCTGTACAGTTCGAATTTTGGTCCTTTCCCTCGTGGATAAATGGTCTTAATTTCAAGGTCCTTTGGAGTTTCTGATAAATCCTGATTTAGCGTATGTTTTCAGGCATATTTTCAAAATTTTAATTGAGCCTACGGTAAGTAAAAATTTTACCTTTTCAGTGCTTCCAGATGACCCGTCTGCTCTTTTCAGCGATAAACTCCGTCTCCTATTGGACGACCGAACCCCCAGCTTCGCCCTTCCTGGCCCATCTGTTTTGCTCACACCCCCATCTTTATTCTGAACTTCGTTTCCATGAGTTGCCAACTCCCCTCTTACATCGGCTGAATTCAAAATTAAAGTAGTGGAAGCTAACCAATACCCTCAATCATCTCGAAAAACACAAGAAATCACATGAAAAACACATGAATAGCAACTCTGAGACGTTTTAATATCGAGTATCTTTACCCGCTGAAGCATTGCATTTCAGCTACTGGTCATAATGCTTTGCACCTCAATTCTAAGTTGTATTTGCCGACATAATTTTTGGCTAATGGTCTTTTTATTAAACATTGTTTTTCTAAAACACACATTTGCTGCTAAAAAAATAAATATCAATTAAATGATCAAATTGTTTGGAACTAGAAAATTGTTAAAAAGCGAAAATAATGTTGTTTCGTCGGCATTACCTGGTCTTTTTGCGCACCCTAAGCTTTAGGTTGTTCAGAAAATTCATTTTGTTTTTCCTCGAAACCGAAATTAAACTTGCTGAAAAGTTTTCGTGGCATTCTGAATGACGACAGAAAGAGCTTCAGTATAATATCACACTCAATGAACAAAAATATTTGCGGAACAAAAATATTTTATTGCTGTTCGACTTTACAGACCTGGCTTTTTGAATTAAAACTAATCAAGTTTTTTTCTCACCATCAACCAAATCTGCTCCTTCTTGAGCGCGGCTGCTAGAAAGCGGTATGCTTGTTACGTTTTCACCATCGCCATGATCTGTTACGCAAATTGACACTTCGGCCGATAGATTTGCTTCTTTAGATGCCGTTGCGTTCCCTTCCTCGGCTGTTCCTTCGTCTTCTTCCTCGAATTCACTCAGACTGGCTATTTCGCTGACGTCATTCGCAGTCTCGTCGTCGTCTGCTTCTTCTTCGTCGTCTTCAGTGCTGACCTCGATCGTGCCTTTGTCTTGAACTTGTTTCAGGAGGTTTTCGATCATGCCGACTGATGCTTTGAAGGTCACGAGTTCGTCACGTTCGTCCTACATATAGAAAGTCTTGATATACAAAATAAGCCAAAATTGTTTAAAATTTCCCTTGCCCATTTCAATAAGTAGCATCTTTGTTTTAAATAACTGTTGCTATTTTGAAAAATTCGAAAAATATTATTGAATATAAATTAAACTGGGACGTGATTGTCAAGTGGAGTGCATCAAGCATCCAAAATGGATCTGAAGTCTTCAATTCTTTTATTTTCCGCACCCTCGATCAAAAATTTTTTTGACAAGTTCTTTCTTTCTTCATGAGTGTCAGAGCAATTTTTCGAATATTTCTGTACCTTGAGTAGTTTATTTTCCTCTCTGAGTTGGTCCAGTTGTTGGACTAGAGTTGTTCTCTCTTTGGCTATGCTCTCATTCACCTTCAGAGCAGCACGAGCTCGCTCTCTCTTCTCCTGGTCTGAAACAATAACCTGTTTAGGGGGATGCCTTCCCCTTTCAGGGATTCGATCATTGGCCACCCAAAGAAGATCTTTTTGGTAGTATTTTACGAAGTTTATGTTTGTTCGACCACCCTAAAACTTTCTCAAATTCATGCACTAAAATTTGTGGCCTGTTTTTTTTATGAATTGCCAGCAGCTCAGATAATTTTGGCAAAATAGGGTCTTTACAGAGCTTTGAGAGAGGTTGGAATTTAAATTTGGTCACCTTTTTCAAACCTCTACCTCTCGAGAAAATGAAAAATCCGCGCCTGGTCCGAAGTTAATCATTTTCCAATCAAGCTTTTTTCTTTGTTTTTTCTTTGTTTTTTGTCTTTTTTTTACGTTCAAACAGCATGGCTGCTAATACATCGATAGTTTTTGAAATAAAAACTTTTCAAGTCTTTTTGATCATACTTTGTACGTCAGTTTTCAAAAGCAAATGAACAATTTTTTGGTGAAGGTTCTAGTTATTTGTGCAAGTTGAATGTACCGGATTTCATTTAAAAAAAACCAGGCAGTTCATGTAGTTCGACCATTCATTTAGGTGAAGTATTATTACAGGAAAAGTGAAGAGTTAGACTAAAAATAACTCAGAAATGCGACTCAAGAGCTTGTTTGTAGATATGCTCTATAAACATATCAAAGTAGCAAAAACACCGATGAACTTGTGAACTTGAGTTCTGCGACCTATTTTACATGTCATCCTTGATCTACGTTGCTGAAAATGCTGGTTTTTTGTTTCAATAAGTTCATGTCAAATCATCCATGCAAAACACACTACAAAGCATACTGGAGTAAAAAAAACAATATAAATGTTGCATCGAATTGCTTTACACGATCTCCTATAAATGAAATGTCATAAGCTATTTATTTTTGGTTTTTTCGCTCCAAAAATACTATGAAAATGCTATGAAATGAGCAGAGTTTCCGTAAAATTCTTGTTTTCCCCTTGCCATAGATTATTTTGCCTATATCTCGTATTTGTTTTGCCTATCTCCCGGGCAGTATTCCAGCCAATGAAATTCTTTTTCAAAATTATTTTGCAATGAGCGTAAATTTTTCTTAATTTTTTAACCAGTTTTTAGAAATTTTTGACGTTCTGTCTTTTCCCATGATGTTATTCAGTATTAAGATACCCAGATTGAGGTTTGACCCCGTAATCGCCCCCATGAAACCTCGAAAAATATGAATAACATTTCGGCACAAAAAGGAAAGTTTTGGATTTCAGGTTTATTCTGTCTATGAATGCTCCTCCTCTAAATCATTGAAGCATGGGTGGGTTTTTCCAAAAAAATTCTTCTTTTTCACGCCCCTTCTAATACGTTTCCAGCTCAAAAATTTCTGCTCAAAATTTGCATGAAATCAGTGGAAGCTTCCAATTTTCCGCAAAACGTATAAATGTTGTTCCCAGTAATGAACATTTAACTTTTGTGAAACAGTTTTCGAAACAATTTTTTTCTGCTTAGCATGTAGAAAAAATTTGGCCCAAAAGCTTTCAGGCATAAGTTATACATTGTTTGAGCTCCAAAATTCGAAAGGTTGTCCTTGAATTTAGCATTAAGTTTAAACTTTCCGCTTTTTTTGCATCGCATAATTTATCTAAAATGAAACAGATTTTATTGATTTTTCAAATGCTCTAAATTTGGTTGGTTTTTGTTCGCAAAATTAGGTTTAAATTAAGATAGATATTTCAAAATTTTAGCTATGAACAAGAAAATTCAATCCATTTACAAAAGTTTTGTGTTCCTAGCCGCAAAAAGCATTAAAGGAAAAAAATTAATATCATTCCAATGTGCTTTGAAAGGGGCAAGGTAGCGCAATGCAACGTGTTGTTTGTAGTTCAAAAATGTACCACAGTGGAGTTTTAAGGAGACGATTCACGATTCGAACGTTTTGCTCAAATTTTTCGGAAATTTTTGAGTGCAGTGGGAAGACACCGAACACACGTTATAGGAAAATAGGCAAACATGAAATTTTCGAGATATCCACACTAGTCCGACCTATCCATGAGTTTTTCCAACCAAAAATTCTATCTCTTCTTCTCAAAAAAATGAAAAGAATCAAAATCAAGGGATTTTTTTTCCAGCTTTTCAATTTTAGATTGGAATTTGAAACATTTCAGAATGAGGCTAGCCGGTTGCAGTGGAAGTAGCACATATTCTTCAAGCAATTTTTTTTCTGTTTTTTTTACTGTAAATTACTGACATTTTTGTGCGGCGTGTGATGAGAGAACTACACAAACGTGCACAAAATTAGAAAGCTTAGCATACTCGACAACCGTTGTTTTGTAAAAGTGAATAACAATTAAAATTGGAAAAATTTAAAGAAACGTCTAAAAACTTTTCTTAATTTTTACAAAATATAATTTCAATTTTTTTAACATAAATCATAATGCTAAAAAAGCGCAAATGAAACCTTATATTAAAATTCTCTTAATTAAATTGTACAATTTTTTGCTGCAGAAAAATGTTACTCGATTAATTTACTTATTCGAAATAAGACTATAATTCAAAAACTTGAAACCGTTTTTTCTCACCACGGGGAAAAAATTTGTGGAAATTTTTTCACGTTGTTCAAAACACGGTTGAAAAAGCTGATTATCATATTTCACTCGAATCGTTCGGACAGTTGTTTGTAGCCCCTAATTTTGTGTGATAAAAGAAAAAGAAAGAAAAATAACTAAAGCCCATTCAAAAACAAAGTTTCTCCCATTTTCTTCAGTTTTTTTTCGCTTGTTAGATGCTTTAATAGTCTAGAGGGAGGGTCTTTTTTCTTATTATGCCCATTTTTTTTAATTTGCGATTTTGTGTTTCTCAATGTATGAATGCAAAGAACAAGTAAACTGTTCGCAGTGATTGGTTTGCTTAATGCAATTGCAATCACATTTGCCGATTACTAACACGGCCGAACTTTGAGCAGATATAAGGGTTGAATTTTTTCCTGGAAAATTTTTTTATTTTCTGGTGTGTTTTCTTACGTTTTTTTTCTTCTGGTCTGCATAAAATTTTGCACCTTATTTGCGAAATAAATTTGAATAGTTAAATAAGCATTCTATAGTTTTGGCAAAGTCGGCTTATCTACTAGTCGAATTATAAATGTGAACAAAACATTTTCAGATGGTGCTGAAATTTGATTGGCTAATTCTAGTCAATCAGATTGAAGCAAAGTAGTTACAGTTGAAGATGTTGAACTACAGTTCAAGATGTCGGAATAAGTAAAACGACCTTAGGGGGATCTCATAAAACAACAGATGTCTAATACTCACTCATTTGGTCTTTGATGGTCTTGAGGTATTGTTGCGTCTCATGGTAGCTGGTGTCCAATTTCCTCACCTAAGCAAAATGTTTTGCTCTTTCAGGACAAAGCGTGAATTACATGAGTTCGACTTCAGTGTATTTGGCCACTTCACTAAAAATTTGGAATTGGCGTTCCTAAGAAACCGTTTCGATTTTTTAACTGACCATTTTGACAGAATCTTTTTATTTCATCTGAAAGCTTTTGATGTATTGAGCTCAAAATAAGGAAAATAATTCATCTGTGCTCATTTTTTTAATATGTTTTTAAAGGTTGAAAGTGACCCATCTGACCATTTGCCACAATCAGCTTGCAATACACTTCATGCAACTGATTTTTCAGCTGAAATAAAGTCCGGTTAAGGAAGTGTTCTAAATTTAATCAAGGCCTCCTAGTTACTCTTATTGTTACGTTACTGTATGATAAATAGATATATCACCTTATATATATATTTTTTGAAATTTTGACAAACTTTTTAAAATCGATTACTGCTCCATAGGCGCCAAAAAGCAGCTATGACATTCAAACCGTCGCACTGATGCGAGCAGTCTTGTTTATTTTTGACCCTAAAAACGGGTGGCCAGTCAATAAGCAGAATGGTCTAAGAGTAGAAAAACTGAAAAAAAAAATTTGTAAGCTGATTGGTAAATGAAGTATAATAATAGTCAATATTACCAAATGAAATAAGTTTTATGCATAATTAGAGGAACTTAATCGAGATTTTTTAAAAAGTTTTATAAAAAAAAATTGATGAAGTTTTTCAATTCATGAATAATTTATACATTTTCATGGTGTTATTGACAATTCTGATACTTGTTCTTATCAATTTACCCTTATTAATCAGTAAAAATTCTTTTTTCAATTTTTTGCTCTAGAACTCATTTTGCTCTTAGAAAATTTTGCTCCGCCTCCCCAAAACGATACAAAATAGTTAAGTATTCGACTCGTATCGGAAAAAAGTATGAACAATTAGCTTGCTTCAATTCATTTTGTGTACATCTTAAGCTCAAAAATATATTTATGCACGAATGAGTTGCGGTACGCTTTTGGCACCATTATATATTTTTTTTCAAAAGGCGAATAAATTAGTCCAGAGCAGTAAAATCCAAAGAATTTAGCGGAAAACGTTTTTGCGGGTCTTTCAAAATAAAATTTTCAATTTCAAATTTTGGTTGATATCATGGGTTTTAAATCACGCTTGAAAAATGCAAAAAAGCGAATTAAACGACAAATAGAATTACATTTGGCATCCTTTTTTTGAAAGTTATATGCAGAAAACAGCAAAAAATGGGAAAAAATGCAGTTTGAGGCTGATGCTTCGTTTTAACAAGTTGCTCAATAATATCTTGCATTTCCCAAAAACTATATCCAGTTTTGTTTGAAATTTTCAGCTTAGTTTTTGCATCACTTGAGGGGTATAGTCAAAAGACACCTTTTTGCAATTGAACTCCATGAATTGATATCTTTAATGGGCTGTGAAATAATTTGGTAAAAATTATGATTCGGTTGCCGAAAATAGATTGAATGAAAAATGAAACCAATCAAATATTCCTAACTTTCTTCAAAAGTTGGAACAAAAAAAGAGTTCCTGAGTTAAAAAGTATAGCATGCATTTACAAATAATTTAGTTACCTTTAAAACGGCAAGGGAGAAAAACAAAAACTCTAGTTCCAATTTGGCGCCTCTTTAGACAGCTTGCTTTTAATAAATTTTTTAAATCGTTGAATTTCAATGGTTTGTGCTAGTCGTCAAACTTTCGAAACTTCAGCTATCAGAAGAAAAAACTAACTTGCAATGATGTATCAGTTTTTAGATTTTGCGAGATTCATTATTGACTGGCCAACAACAAAACTTTTCTAATGTCGCCTTTGGCGCCAATATTATTAAATTTGAGGGAGGAGTGCGCGCCGAAAAAACGGAACTTTTTGGTCATTCAAAAAAAAGTGCTCAAAACGTCAATTTCAGCCTGTTTTCCCAAAAATTTGCCTGCAACTCAGAAACATTTCTGACAAAATAGGGTCCTTATAGTATTTTCGGAGAGCAGGAAACTCAAATTGGTCGACCTAAAAAAAGTCAACAAAATTTTCAAATTTTTTATTTAGAAAACCGCCTCACCCCCCCCCCCCCGCCCCCCCAAAAAAATTATGCGCACGCCACTGCCTACGCAGAGTCAATATTTAAATAGCTCAGCTCTAATCATTGAACTAAGATTTGACTTTATGTAGGATACTTTTATCCCTGTAAGTTTCTTTAGCCAATCGAACAGACCGTGTCTTCTAGTTCGTCGTTCTTCTGCAACAGCAGGTCGTTCTCCATCCTCACACTAGTCTCATCCCCCTGAAGTTTCTTCACTTGCTCCCCCAGACTGTTCTTCTTCTGGATCAACTCCTGCAACTGTCGCTCTTTCTGTTGCAGCTCCTCCAGCATTTCCTCGCGCACCTATGACGTCACCACTCCCTCTCATACGATATATTTATTGATATAATGGGGAGCTTATACTAGTTTTGCCTTGGTCGGAGTGAATGGCCTTTGTTGGCTATACGTGTAATTTAAAGCATGCGGCTATAATCAAAAGGACCAACCCCCACCCAGCAAAAAGATGAAACTTTCTCAATAAATGTCGTATGAGAGGATGTCATGTATCATATTATAACTTTGTCATACGCTGTTTAAACACTATCAAAAAGTCCACTCGTTGTTGAAAAAAAAACAATTTGAAAACTTCCATTTTTTCAATTACAAATTCCCTCAAAACTTTTCCTATTGAGTTCAATTTTTCTTAAACTAAGTTATTCATCTGACTATATTAACCGTATTTTGGCCCGTATACTTAAAAAGTCCCCTCCCCTCTTCTGTATGTTCTGCCCTACCTTCTGTTCCCGGTCCTGTTCCTGTCTCTTCACCCTCTGTCTCTCCATGTCCAACTGGGCCTCCATCTCCTCGTACAACTTGCTCAGCTCCTCATCATGCAACACTGCCCTCGTCTTCAGAGCCTCCTCCAACTCCCTCTGCTCAGCCACTGTCGCACGCATGTCACGCACCATCTACATCACACCATTAATAAGTACCAAGTACAGCATCGGGGGGGGGGGGCGTTCCCTTCCGTTTTCTCCGTTTTCTGGATTTGACTGCCCTGACCACTCAAAAGTTCCTTTAAGCTAATTTACGACAGCCATTTTTTCGACCTCCTTGAACTTTTTCTAAAAAAATTTTTGGTGCCAAAATACTCTAGCTAGAAGGGAAAACTAATTCGAAAAAATTTCCAAAAAAGGCCCCAAAACATCATTTTTGGCCTTTTTTTTCCAAAAAGGGGTAATTACAGTGCTTTGGGAGAGCTTGAAAATTAAAAATTATTTTGTTCGAACTAAACAAGCGTTAAAAACCTAGGTCTGCGCTTGATTTATAAGTTTAAGAGAAAATCAGCGTAGAGAGAGGCTGAGGATCTTGGGAAAACTACACCATTTTGCGAATAGGAGAAATTCGTCAAGTTCAATGCTCTTAGCGGTTGAGTTAGTTTTTAACATAAAATCTGAAGAACTAACTCAACCGTTAAGAGCATTTCGAGCATTGAACTTAACGAATTTCCAATGTTCGGAAAATGGTGTAGCTTTCCCAAGATACCAGTTTTATTAGATCATTGATCCTTCTTTTCACAATGTTTTTCAGCAATCGCGACAAAAGGACACTGTCAACAGTCAAGTCAACAACAAGTTTTTTGTTCGATCACTTTATGCAAAAAACGGCCCTCGATATTCAAAAAGTTCTCGCAAAGACTGTCTATCAATGGAAAAACAATTCATTAACTAAGGACAGATTAACTTTGGATACCTCTTCTGCAGTTCATTGAAACTAAAACTTTTTTATGATTTGTGAAAAATATACCATTTAAATTTTGCTTATCCACTTTTTTTCACTTCACGTGGCCAGTTAAAAAGAAAATCCTAATTAGAAATTTGTTCACGAAACGACATTCGTTTGTTCTTTTTTCCATTATTCCATAATTCCATTTTGTTCTTATTCCATGAAAAACGTCTGTTCTCATCTTTAACAAATTAATTTAGTCTTTTCAACGTGTTTTGAGCGCTGAAAAAGTTATTCATATTATTAAGAACTTTGTGCCTTGTTTAAACATCAGTAAAAAACCGCAACCCAATTTCAACTTCGGAAACTAAATACGGTACTGCCCGCGGATGCCTTTTCTTCGAGCAATACCTATTCTACTTATATATTTTTTATTTTTTGCCATTATATCCGTAATCTTGTAAGGCTGTAATGGCAACTCTGCGTTCAACGCTTAGATTGCTATTCGCATGCTAAACAGCATGACCTGGCCAAACTATTATTTAATTTTACCTTGACTATTATTTCAATGTTTTGCTGTGACTGAAAACCAAAACTATCAAATAGTTCAATTTTGTAAATTCTGGGACTGTCCTGCTCTTTCAAAGGCTAATGAACATATCAACACTTCAAAACAGTTAATACTAAGAAAATTTGAAAGAAGTCAAGACGAGGTTGAAATAGTATATTTGATCCCCTGCCAAATGGCAATGATAGTGTGTGAAGATGAGTTCTCACTTGACTTCTAGCTTCAGGTCCACCCCAGCCTGATCCTTTTCGGCTGCAATAGTGGTAACACATGAAAATGCTAAGACCAAAAAAAAACGGCCGAGTCCCAAAAAATTAGCTTCGCTTAACAAGAATAATTCAATCTAGAATTTGGGATAAGAAAACAAATGGAATATCCTTAGACAAGCCGTTAAGGCCTACTGATAGCTCCTCTGCGACTTGCAGGAACCACAATTAAAGAACGATTAATTCTGACGTTAACGTCCACAAGACGAGCATTTACCGTCTCTTTCTGGAGAACCGTTGTTGAGCCCCCCGGTGAAGTTCTTATGTGCTCCTAATGATCTTTGTAAAAGTTTCAGAGCCATGAATTATTTCAATAAAGAAGACTGAACTTGCCTTCGATAGGAAATCTTCAAAAAGGTTCACACTATTCGGGTCTGTGCTTCTCAGCCGAGTCCATATATGCTTCAAACTATTCGCATCAGGGACCACTTCATGGCCTTTCAACTGCTGCAGAAGTTGTTCAAACTGTTCTCCGTCTTCATTGGGGTCATTTGAGGAGCCATTAGTGGCCACAGAGTTCTTTTTATGGCCTTTAGCGGCTACTTCCACTGGGTCTTCGTCTTCATGGCCATCGACATAGCTGAGAAACTGTCCGAATCCATCGGTGAACTCCTCGAAACTGAAATGATTCTTTTTAGTTCATTTTTATTGTTTACTTATCTAAATGTTCGAGTTTGCCAAAATATTTGAAGCAGCTGTGTAAAAAATACAACACTAGCTTTAAAAAAACAAAAAGCCCCAACTTAGCTTTAAAAAACAGAAAAATCAGAATAAGGATCGCCGAATGCTTCCCGATTTGTGAAAGAATGTAAGAAATTATATGAATATTTCTTATAACGAAGTTTCATCAAAGAACTCTATCTAGCTGAATTCGATAGCTCGATCTAGCTCAATTTGATAGCTCGATCTAGCAGAATTCGATAGCTCGATCTAGCTGAATTCGATAGCTCGATCTAGCTGAAATCGATAGCTCGATCTAGCTGAATCCCATGGCTCGGTCATTAAATAAATGTACGTTGGCTAATTATCGACAATCAGATTGATATATCAGCGCCTTTTTTTCACACACAATGTCGTGATTGCCTATGAAACAAAAACGAATCTATACGTAACTCGGAAAAAACGAAAGATTTGCTAAGCTGCCAAAATTCTGGGTTTCATTTCTTAAAATGAACGAATTATACATATAAGTTTAAGATTTTCACAATGTAACCAGAATTCTATAATTACCATCATACTGCTAAACTGGAAGTTTGCATACTAGGTATAAATTTGCATATGCTAGCAAATGAGTTAAATGAAATTAAGTTTTGTTAGTAGGTGAAAAATTTTTACTAGATATAGCGGTGAGCGCAGAAACTTTTTAAGGAAGGTGGGATACTTTATTGAAGGTCGATCAAACTTATTTTGTGAGCATTTCGGTAACCCTAAAAACGATATTTTGAAAACATGTTATCTAATTTGAAAATATACAGGTCAAAAAACTTGTTGAGAGATGTTTTGAAAAGGATTGATATAAAACAATTGAGTGTTTCTGGCGAGCGTTTCCTTTTCAATACTAATATAAATTGACGCCGAATGCGCCTGCATAAAAAGTTACGGACCTATTAACCAAAATTGGAAGTCATAAAAGAGTGTCAAAGTCAGACAACATTTCGAAAACATTTGAGAATGATAATGAACGCTAGCGCTTGAAAGTCGTCTATTTCACTCGCTTTATGCAGCAAAAATTTATCTGTGAAAACTGAAAAAGTTATTCGGAAGCAAATTATTTGAACATTTCGGTCGATTATTATGTCATCGAATGGAAAACAGCAATCTCAACAAGGACAAGGTGGCGCGGATGAGGCACTGCGGAAGCTACTGGTAAAGTTCACAGATGAGGCAGCGAGGATCGCAGTTCAAGAAGTGGCAGTAAGACATGGGAAAAAAGAAAAGGAATTTGAAGAAAAGTTGGATAGACTCACATTGTTTTGTGATGAAATGAGTTTAAGACTTAGGGATTAGAAAAAAAAACCTCAAAAGACTCTGTGATTATTAGAAATCCCCGTTCGACCCCAGAATAGATAGACAGTTGCTTAAAAATATTGTGGGTATCGCTAAAAAATACTTTGATATTGATCTCAATGGTGACAACTTAAAGCATTTCATATGTTTCCTAGGACAAATTGTTGCGCAATGATGTGTTTCCACCTGTGATATTGAAATTTGCACATTTTCTCAAAAAAGATGACTTTAACAACAAACAGAAATTGCTAAAAAGTTGTGTTAATCCATTAAACTGTAATACATGCGGTTAAATGGGCGATTGCCTTCTGTCGAGACTTTGCCGAAGTAGTACGTTGATGAGCTGAACCTGATCCCTTTTACAAAAAACTGCAAAACAATCGTATTTTTTAAAAGGGGGGATAGGGAAGTTTTTGTAACAGTGAAAACAGTCAATGATTTTCACGGCTGAAAGGATGCTATCAAAAGACAAAAACAAAATAATCAGCAGCCTCAAAGGTTCAAAAAAGTTTCACTGCTATCAGCCCAATTTAAAAAGCATTAGCGAGCTATGCTAGCCTCTCTCCTGAATAAAAAAGAAAAGTGTCCTACGCAAAATTCTCTGATGCAAAATTCTCTGATGCAAAAAAAACAGTCTGATGCAAAAATTGTATAGAGCCGCAGTAAAGTTAGTAGTTTTTTGACAGATTTGGTGCTCACTAACTTTATTGGTGCTCAAAACAAATCGATCTTTCTTTCTACCGATTTTGCCTGATGAGCAATTTAAATTTTTGTTAAGTTAAACTAAGATTTTGTTGAGTAGGAATTCGCGATAAAGCTGTTAACTATTTTTTATAATAACAAATGAACAACATTTTCAGTGAAAATCATTATGAACAATATTAATGAACAACAAAAACACTTATATCAAAGGCAAGCAACCTAACAAGCCTATACAAATGATAAGAGACTCGCTTAGAAAAACCATGAGACACAAACGGAAGCAACACATTTTTTTCGTCAACAGTGTGAAGCCAACAGTAAAAAAACGGAGATGAGTAATGCATTAAAAGTAATATATCAGCTGAAACTTTGAACCATTTTTTATTGACATTGGATCAAACCTAGCTGAATCTCTAAAATGGAGTGCAATTTTAAAAATCTGAAAACAGTAAAGAATACATGTTATTCATCGAAATTGACAGAGCAAAAAACTTTTGAAACTATTGGTAGTTTGCAAAACAAAAGAAGCCATGGAAGCCGTGGACTCCTAAAATTTTTCAAAAAAAAATATTTATCCGGCGATTGGTTCTACTTTAAAGCATTTAATTAATCGAGTACTTGAAGAAGAGTTTTATCCGGAATGTTTGAAACTTGCTAAAGTTATTCCAATTCACAAAATTGGAAAGAAAGATCCAAACACAACTTACAGGCGAATATCACTGCTATTAGATTCTTTTTTGAAAATAAAGTGTTTCGAACAATCAGAAGAGTTTTTGTCAAAACGATCAAGAATTGACGCAATTCTGGAAATTCTCGAATCAATTGAATTCTTTTTATTAAATAAGAAAATTAGTTTTTGCGCCCTAATTGATTTATCGAAAATTTTTGATGCCTGTTAACAATGAAATTGAACTGAGAAGATGCTCATTGTACGGATTGAGAGGAAAACCATTTTCATTTCTTAAATCATATCTAGAGAACCGATACCAATTTTTTCAAATAAATCGATTAAAGAAAACTCAACATAAGAAAAATTGCGGGGTCCCTGAAGGATCAGTTCTGGGTCCACTTCTATTTCTACTTTACATCAAGGATCTCTCCAAAATTTCAAAAACAACAACGTGTTTTTTTGCAGTTGATACTGATTTTTTTGGCGATGTTTCAGAATACAACTTTGATCTAGATTTGAACATTATAGTAACATGGATGCAGCAATTAAACTAAAGATAAACCAAGACAAAACCAAAACAACTGTTTTCAGCTCAAAGAAAATAAAACCGTTGATAAAATTCCGAATTAGTGTCTTAAAAACTGAAAATCGTGTTAGATGTTTGGGATTTCAAACTGATCGCAATTTGAGCTTTACTGAACATATTTGAAATGTGAAAAATAGTTGCGCAAAATCTAATTCATTTCTCTACCAAACTAAAATCATTTGAGAGTCTATAAAAGCAACATTCAACTATTTTATCAACATGGAATACTGATATATGGCTGCACCTCAGAAACAATCTTGACAAACAAAAAAAAATTGAGAATAATCATCAGGAAAAAAAATCGATGAAGTAAGATCGACGAGACAAAAATAACAAGTTTACTCAATCTATGAGCTACATAAATACGAAATCTTAATAGTACTAACAAAAATCATAAGGAAAAATCATACAAGTAACGATGTGAATAATTTCACAACATCAAAAATTGATAAAGCATCTTCTAAATGACACACGGATTAGGGCATTACGAAGCAATCGGTACTAAATAAATTTAAAATAAAAAATTATGCGAGCTAGGCTTTTATCAATCTAGACTAAAAAGTTTTGTTAAAGATAATGATGGAAATCGATGAAAACTGGATTGAACTTTTTTTGACGAGTAACTAGTTTGTTTCATTAAAAAATAAAAATCCTTCTTTTTTTATGGATTAGCTCTACATCTACAGAAACGGTTTATGTAAAACTTCAGTTTTCAATCGGATAAAAAAAATGCATTCTGACTTATGGAAAAACATGGTTTCTGAATGGTCAGCTTTACGGTGACCATTCGAATCGGCGCTACCAAAACTGTGCATTAATAAGAAATAGTTTCTGTAATGTGCCTGATTCGTAAACGAATTTATGTTTTATTATTTTTATAATTCATTATCAGAATTGAGGAAGGTACTCCTCCCCTTCAACACGCTACTGGCTACTGACTAGGATCCTAACCATAGAGGAGGCTATTGTTCAACTGTCATTTTATAAGACGAACATTCAAACTCACCCTCTGAATATGAAATTCGTTCTAGATGAATATACATTTAAAAACTAGTGCCCACCTCAGGTATCCATTGCCATCATCGTCTAGTCTGTCGAACACCTCTTCCAACACATCTGCAGTCAGAGGGAGTTCATGTGTCAACCTGAAAATATACAGACAGATAAGATCTATTAATGAATTCGTTTTCGAGAAGGGAACAGAATTGATTATGATTTAAACAACTCATTGCAATAGAAAAGAAGTCCCATTTCGAATGAGCACCAAAAAAGCCATAGTTAGCTGCCAATCGAGTGCTGTCTTCAAAAACGTTTAGTGGTGTCGTGTCATTTTTTTTGAAAAGAGTGGTGTCATATTTCAAAAATTTATCTAAAAACCTAAGTTCTTACGCTAAAATTCTTGAGCTGAAGTTCTAAAAATTTTTAAGTTAAAGTTCACAATTAGCTGATTGATATCTTAGCTGATTGATATCTAAGTTCAAATAATCAATCGAAAACACATTTAACAAAAATGTGGTGCCATTTTGAGATTTTTTGATCTGATCGCTTCAAAAAGTCAAACTCGATATTAAAAAATGCATTGGTCTCAAAATAAACCCTGTATTGCATCAAACATTAAAATTAACCAATTAAGAGAATACAAAAATAGACAGACGCAAATTCTTTGAGAGTTACATCGTGCGAAAAAAAACGTTGATTAAAGCATTTTGGAATGATAATTTTTGAACCGTTTCATAAATTGTCTTTGACAAACGAGTTCTGAAAGTTATTCGACAAAACATTTTTCAATAATATTATCATGTAGAAAACCAAGAAAACCAAATCGGTGGGTCTAAAAAGATTGGACTCATTAAAATATTAGCTAATTTTTGTCCCCTCCCCCTACCCCAACCCCGTTCACGTCCTCAGTAGTACATCGGGTTCTCGTATATCAGAATTATACGTCACAATTTGGAATATCAAATCATTACGCTTGCAAATAACCTCAGCAGATCACGGCGTGTAATGAACCCTTTGCACTCCTTGTCGCAAATGCCAAACAACTCCACTGCTTTTTCCCGGAGAAGGTTCTGGGTGTCGACTGCCGGGTCCTGGCAGAGAACTTCCTCGTGCATTCCTCAATTACAGGAGCACGAGTTGTAATATTATATTTCCGACTCAGACAATAAACACAATTTGACTTTTGGGTAAATAGATAAATTTCATTTTTTGAAAGCGTAATATATAAAATGCAGAATGAAAAAGCTGCAGATTCGTTTCACTTTTTGCTACAAAATGAGAAAGTTTCAAGTTGGTGTTTTTTTGCGTTACTATTTATATTATTTGGCGCAATGAAAAATTGTGATATAAGCTGAAGGATAAAAATTTTATACATATATTCAAGTAAGTTTTTTCAAGCTATGTTGCAACAAGTGCGTTCAAGTGGAATTCGGGACAATTTTAAAGTGACTGCAATAAATTCAATTTTCGAATTTTTCCAGCAAATTATGCTGAAGACGTTGAAACTAAATGTTTTTAGTTACCATTTTGGTACCATTATACTGTTCGTCAAAGACTGAAACAGTTGCGCTTTATTGTATTTTTTCTATTGACTTCTGACTATAAATGGTTTTTGCGATGTTTATAAAAAGATATCGAATGAATGAGCGTTATTATGCATGGCTTCGCTATAGTTCAGAAAACGCTGTCACAGATGTTATATCAACAAAAAACTACAGCGCTCTTTTGAGCATCGCATGTAAATGATGAATGAAATTTGATAAATGTTGTTAAATATTAACCCCCTATGTTACCCCTATGATGAAAAAACTCAAGGGTAAGACAACAAATCAAAATTTTGTCATCCCAATTAGCAAAAAATGCATGCAATTTTTAACTACGTTTAAAGCAAAGAAGTAGCCTTACACAGGCATTGGTCCGGTCAAGGAAATTGTCAATATTTTTCCGAAAGTGAGAAATTGCTCACAAGTTCGGGTAAAAGAATGTATTTGTCAAAATATCAAACATTGATAAAGACTCTTGAAAAAGACCTGTCGGTGGCTGAAAACGAAATTCAATTTATAGTTTCTGGTTGACCTTTCGGGTCTTCCTCTGAGTAGCAATAGTGAAGTTTACACGAACAAATAGGAAAAAATCCAGACAAATTCTACATCCTTTTTAGTCGCGCAGATGGACCAAATATTTAACGAGAAACATCTTTCAGATAGTCGCCTGTTACGAATTGTTGCCTCACGGCTTAAAAAATCACAGCAAATGAAAAAGTTGTGGTAGAACACATCAAAATGGCAGCTTGAAATTTGTCGTGTATTAAATCATGAAAACAATTTGAAAAAGTTTGTTAAAGATGTGTAAGTTGAGTTGTTTGCAAGCGCCAGTATCGGAGGCCCTGTTTTATACCTGGAAAGCAATCGGAGTCAAACAACTGCACCAGTCGCATCAAGGTCACTGTGTGCGATCAATTTGAATTTATATCAGCATCCTTTGTAGTGGTACAACTGGATGTTCGAATGCTCGAACGTTCGTTTGACGAAAACCCTTCGTAGGCCCTCGCGAACGTTCGGTCATGTTTGACCTGTGTTTTATTTACACTAAGTACTCAAGACTCACTACTTTGGCTAGAACAATTCTCTACTTAGCTTTCTCCAGTACCCCGTCAGAGCGTTTTTTTCAGCACTGCTGGAAACATTGATACCAAGAAAAAGGCAAAACTTACTGTAGATCGTGCAAACATGCAAAATATTCTGCCTAAAAATTGGAAATATTTAAATTTTGATTTTTTTCTCTAGAATACGGAAAAGCCAATGAAATATCAAAAGTTCAAAGATTCGACGAAAGTTCAAATATTGCTGACAAGCATTCGTAGGCTATTTTGAACAAATGTTGCACCACTAATCCTTTGTAGACAACAATCCTATGGCACGAGTCATCTTTGTAGTCACAATGTTTAAAAAGCAAATCGTCCGCAAGCCATGCTGCAGTTTCTACGTTTGATGATTTTCTATGAATATCTAACTTCATTTTTGAACGCGGGTTCCTCTGCCACGACAACGTAAAACGAATAAACTCCGGGTATGCCCGAACATTGATCGGCGAGAGAAATATAAGGTACAGAGATGTTTGGTCGACCTGATCGTGCATTATAAACGGCTTCTAAATGTAATACAGTTTCAAAAAATGGACAATTTTGTATTTACTCCATTTTCAAATACGCGAAAAGTCAAAAAAAAATTCAGACATCTCTTCAAAATGTTTTAAATCAACTTGTTCATAAGTAACCAGTCGAGCGCTCTAGAAAAGTTCAATTTCGGAGACCACTTTTCTGAAGAATGCTAATAAACTGTAGAATTGGTGATTCTACTGTATTACATGATATAGTAACCTGGCCGTAAGATTGATTAGTCATTAAGTTAACTATGTTAATTAGTACAGCAAACAAAGGGTCGAGTTCAAATTAGTTCATCATTCGAAGATATCGTTCCTCCTATGCCAGAAAATAAAATTTGACAAAATCCTCGAACCCCCCTCCCAAAATCGCAACTAGGGAAGCTAAGGTTATGAAATTCAGAGAAGGGGTACTAGAGATGATTTGACGCGGGTATACGAAAAACGGGACCCCTCAGACCCTTGGGGGCAAGTGATAACGGTCCCCGGAAGTGTATATGGCCCTATCAGAACTCGGAAATTAGCGGCGGTAATCGGCTCAAACTTCAGTATGCTGTAGGCCTAGTTGAGGGAAGCTTAACTTTGGAACCCACTTCCAGTTTTATGCCCTAAGTAAACAAACTCACCCCTAACATCCAGAAGTCGTTTCTTGGCCTCCCATGCTCGCAGGGAGCTGAAGCTTGAAGGGAAGATAAGAAGCGGCAAGATACATTTTGTGCTATAATTTGAACTTTTTCCAACGGGTGGATCGGAAGCTATTAAGCACCTAAAAAAACACCCGCTTAGACAAGAAATAGGCAATTTACGCAAAATAACGGTCGGTGGCATTATAATTTTTTTTGCGACAATCGAAATTAGATTCAAACCCCAAAAAAGCCCCTTTGTAATTGAAAACCTTCCGGCGACTCCTTCAGGTGTTAATAGCCTTTTCCGGAAAAAGTGATAATGGACCTTAGAAATGGGACAAATTGTGAAGTATTAATGGGATATGGATAAATCTGTTAGTTAGTAGTTAGGACCCCCAAATATGGAAGTTTGACCCCGGTCGAGCCCTGGGTGACCTTAAGTTGATCTTTGGGCGCTTTGACTTCAAAATCGCAAAACAAAACCCAAGATTAACACCGGAAAGTGGCGTACTCCCCGGCCGAACCCCTGGAGATGAGAATGGAACACCTTACTAATAACTGGGAAGAAACTTGTATATTGGGAACTAGAGCAGTAGATGATAGTCATATAGCTTTTTTATTGCAACCTTGGAGTAGTACAGTTATTTCATAGTGGACTTGGTAAATATTGGGTTCACTTTAGCTTTGCAAATGATCTATTGATAGCAATTCAACTAGACTAAAGAAAAGTAGTCCCAGAGGAAATGGATAGTAATAGGACCGCAACATGAGAACTAGGTCTCCTGAATAATATGAACGGAAGGAGATTTTGCTTGGCTTCCCGGGGGTGACTTTTTGGTTTAATTTGACCCCTAATAGACAAACAACGTTCCTCTGATAGCTAGTAGGTCGGGATTGGAATAGAGTACAATTAGAAATTTAAGCTGCTCGGAATGAAATAGCTACCCATGAAAAGGGTCTCCCTCTACCTTTGGGAGGTCGGAACGTTAACGGAATAAGAAAATGAAGACCTTGGAGGGTCACTGAGTAAACATAGCTTGGTTTGGACGTTGAGTTGAACTCGAGGGCTGAAGTCACTCAGGTCAGGACTTAGTTGAATAGAATCGCATGATATTTGTTTGCTTGGTCAAATTGTGACACCTACTGCATACCAGTTCTCTAATAAGCGTGAAAAGAAACCGAACTTACCACATGGAAGTGTTGACAGGGGGAGGGATATAGTGTTAAGACATGTGCGGACGGGTGATTTAAGCGTATGTCAGGACTGATAGGGAATTGCGTGAGTTAACTAAAACTTAGTGTAAAGAAAGACACGGAATTGAATGGTATCCATGAGTCTTTAAGAGTCAGAACAGTTGTTAGCTAAAGGTTAGTTGATTCTCAGTCAGAGTAGAGAGAAATTGATACTGACACAGAGTAAGTTGGTTCTCAGCTAGTTAGAGAGAGCAATTTTTGCTAGTGAATCGAGTAGTTGGTTCTCGGAGTATGAGAACAATTATAGCAGAAACATTAGTTAGTTGGTTCTGATCAGAGATTCTCTAGAAAGAGAGAACAGTTTAGTGTTAGTGGAGTTAGTGGAAGTTAATTTGCAATCAAGAAACTGTGCGGATAAATTTCCGACCGTTGGCTTTTGATTTGATTATTAGATTATATCATGGCCACTGATAGTTTTCTGTAATTGGACATATAACCATCTAAAATAGTCTATCCTTGGAAATTCTTGCGATTGTATCGAGTAGACGAGACAGCCTTACGAACAGTACACAGAAGGGGCAAGCAACATAGAGCAGTACAGAATAACTGCCACCAAGATAGCCCTTTCAGGATTTTGAATAGTAGTGAAGCTCGGTCGTCCCGCTGAATTCATTACCCGAGGGACCACTTTGCGGTGTCGTTAGGAAAGAGAGAACGAACCTAGAGAAGCAATCATCTAAATCTACACAAATTATAGATTGATTTCAATTTCGGAGACCACTTTTCTGAAGAATGCTACCAAAATAATAGATTGATATGAGGTTACTTCGCATTTTTGGCACTTGAGGGACTGATGTCTGGTCAACTTCAAAGCTTTTCCTAGACCTAGTTCAAAGAAATTTTTTTCAACTGCAAACTTTAAAAAAATCGGTTCCTATTTAGTTAGTTACACATTGCTCGTTGTCAAAAAATTGTACAATTTTAAGTTTAGTGTCTGCATTATCTATACTACTTAGGTCACAGGTCATGTTTCAAGTTCCAAGCTTTCCTTTATGCCTTTAAATCCCCATTTCGTCGAAAAAAAGAGTAAAATTTATAAAGGGTTCATCGTCCTTTTTTTTGAGGTAGATGTTTTCTTCACAATAATTTTCCTTAATTGTACATTTTGATATCGTTTTTTCTTTTTTTTTTAAAAAAACGTCCCTCGTTTTTCTACTTAAAGTGTACCAATTTGTTCACAGGCATGAAGGGAAACACTGACGCTTCATTTAAGAATTTCTACTTTAACTCATAATGATGAGGGGCTCGGGGTGACTGGCTCCATCTTTTAGTTTGGTTTTGTTGTCACAGAGGAATGCTCGAAATCTGGAGCCACACCTTGTTGAATGCTGCCACTCAGCCATTGTAAATATCTCCAGAATGGCCGCTATCTTTTTGACCATACAACCACATTCTGTTTTTGTGCGCTAAGTTAAGCATGCAAAACCACGAGATTGCTGTTCAGTTGTTCATTCCGGCACAACTAAGGTTGCGCCGCTCAGTAAGAGTTTGTGAACAAACGAAATTGAACACAAAACAGCTTAAGCTTAAATTGAAGCTTGAAGCTTGACTCAATTGAAGCTTGACCC